TAATGCTGGATAAAAGGAAAACAAAACAGGAAATAAGGATAGAGGAGACGCCAGGGCCTGCGGACGCCTGCAGGTCTACCTTGGATCTCCGCGTGAACTAAAAGTAGCCTCCAACCTACGGTCCAAAGTCAACAGCACTGGGATCTGCACAAAAGAGTGCAGAGTGTAGTATCAGCACAACCGACTCCATGTGCTGGTAAGTGCCTAGACTAACCTCGGCGAAATAGTAACGAGGCTAGGACCAGATTACCAAATAAACTTGTGCAGTTCAAATATATATATACAGCGGGAAAAGAAATACAGAGATAACCAGTCAATGTGGGAGGGGGAGCATGCTGTGGGGGAGATAACAATTCCAAATAGAAAGACATCAACTGACAAAGGAAACAACATAACTCGGATATCAATAAAGAATCGGAAATCAATAAATGCACGGCATCACCCTTCGTGCTTTTACTCTCGTCCTCACCAAGAAATTATATAATAAAATGTGCACGGCATCACCCTTCGTGCTTTTACTCTGTTTCCTCACCATATAATCAATAGGATCGGCACGGAATGGTACATCGTGCGGCACGGCATCACCCTTCGTGCTTTACACTCTTTCCTCACAATCATACACGGCATCACCCTTCGTGCTTTAACACTCTTCCTCACCCAAACAACAATCACAAACAATAGGGCAAGGGAATAAAATGAAATTGCAATAAAGATCCCGGCAAGGGAACAACATTTCAACAAATAAATCCCGGCTAGGGAACAACATCAATAATATTAACATCCCGGCAAGGGAGATAACAAATAAATCGACAATAGCTCGGCTAGGGTGTCAACATGATAACTTCTTTTCTTTCTCACTTTTACTTCACAATTCACTTCATAACTCGAGCCAATGCTCTAGAGATTCAATTATCACTTACACTTTCACAATTCGTTACATAACTTGAGCCAACACTCCTCAATGTTCATAAGTGTCACAATTCCTTCCACAAACTTTATACATCGTATAGATACCATCACCAAGGCATGAAAGATACAACAAAGTCATGAAAATCACAATGTAAAGACTTACGGGCATGCTAGACACCAACGTATAGATACTCGTCACCCTGCCTATACGTTGTACTCAACAATTAACACTTAACAAATAGGACTCAACTCCTAATCCCTCAAGCTAAGGTTAGACCAAACACTTACCTCGATGCCACGAACACAATTCACGTCTCAATTATTGCTTTACCCCTTGATTCCACCTGCACTTCGCTCGTATCTAGTCACAAGTTACTTAATTACATCAATAAACGCTAAATGAATCAACCCCAATTCATGAAAATGAGTTTTCCTAAAGTTTTACCCAAAAGTCAAAAATCGACCCCGGGCCTGCTTGGTCCAATCCTGAAATTCGTACCAAAACCCGATTACCCATTCACCCCCGAGACCGGATATATAATTGGTTTTGGAATCCGACCTCAATTTGAGGTCTAACTCCCTAAATTTTAATATTCTTAGGTTTTTCCTAAAATTCTCAATTCCCCCATGAAAACCCTAGATTCTAGGATGAAATCTTGTAAAAAGAAGTTAAAAAGTAAAGAAAATGAGTTAGAAATCACTTACCAATGTTTTGGAGAAGAAAGGTTGTTTGGAAAGTTGCCTCTTATGTTTTTGGGGTTTTGAAAAATGAAAAATGACTGAAAATCCCATCTATTTATACCCCTCTCAGACCCCCTGTGCGAACCGCACAAAATGGACTGCGGCCGCACAGCCTTTCCTGAGATACTGCAGTCCAGTGACCCTGTGCGGACCGCACAAAGTCGACTGCTGCCGCACAACTCTCCGCCGCGCACCGCACAAAGTCGACTGCGGACAGCACTGGCCCCTTCCGCGGTCGCACACGATTTCTCGCGGACCGCACTAGCGGGTTCAGAGATTTGAAATTTCTCTGAACCTGCAATAACTGTGTTTTTTAATCCTAAGACATCCCGGAACCTACCCGAAGCTCACCCGAACCCTCGGGGCTCCAAACCAAATATACGTACTAACTCAAAAACACCATATGAACTTATCCGTGCGATCAAATCGCCAAAATAACATCATAAACATCGAATTAAAACTCAAAATCAAGGAAATATTTCAAAACTTCTTAAAACATCAAATTTTGCATTTAAGGTCCGAATCACGTCAAACGGATTCCGTTTCTCACCAAACTTCACAGAATTATCTTATATCATATATAAGACCTGTATCGGGTGCCGGAACCAAAATACGGGCCCGATACCAACATGTTCTAATCAAATTCATTCCCAAATCCTTTAAATAATTTCAGAAAATAATTTTCTTTTAAAAATTTATTTCTCGGGCTTGGGGCCTCGGAATTCGATTCTGGGCATACGCCCAAGTCCCATTCTTTCCTAAGGACCTTTTGGGACCGTCAAATCACGGGTCCGGGTTCGGGTCCGTTTATCCAAAACGTTGACCGAAGTCAAATTAGATCATTTTATAGTCAAAATTTATCATTTTTTCATAGATTTTTACATTTAGGCTTTCTTGCTACACGCCCAGACTGCGCACGCAAATTGAGGTGATGCTAAAAGATGTTTTTAAGGCCTCAGAACGTAAAATTTATTTTAAAAACAAGTGATGACCCTTTTGGGTCGTCACATTTTTTTTGGTGAAAATAAATATTTTATTGATCACCAGCAACTATATTTTATTGATTCCCTTATATTCATTCTTGCTGGGTTGATTTGACTTGGTTTGTGTGAATGCCCTCAAATTAATCGTGCCATTCACTCAAACCATGAGATAGTGATTTTGCTTTGCTTAATTGAATTATGCACATTGAGTTTCACAGTGAAAACTGGATAAATTCCTTGAAACACTGAGGTTTCTTATTTATTTAGGTCAGATAGTGCTTTTGCTCATTGAAAATTTTATTTTAATTCTGTATTATTGGAAACCCTTATTAGAAGTACTGATACATACATATGTTGGATCTTCTTTTGCATTTTCGGCATGTTTACATAAGCAGTAAAACATTTGAGTAAAGTGATTGTTGCTGTAAAACTGCCAACATAATGCTGTGTGATATCTGTTTTAGCTCACTATCGATGGTTCTATGATGCTGTCAACTCTCCTTTCGTTTTGATTTTCTGAGATATCCCTTAATTTTTTCATTAATTTATTGAAATAGAAATTTCACCTACACTATGTCAGTATTACTTTTCTAGTTATTCTTCCTTAATTTATTCTTTTAATATTAGAGTGACAATATTTATATTATTATAGATAGGTAAAGTGACCATATTTATACCTCAAAAAAGGGTATTTCTTTTGGCTCGATAATATTTGGAACCAGAGAATAAAGGAAGCAAAAATATTTTAAAACATGTAGCAAAAACTAAGAATCAAAAGTAAAGGAAGCAGAAGAAATACTAAATAAGTATTTTCATTGATTAATTGATACTTTTCAACATATTCCAAATAATATTTGAAAGATACTTTTAGCATACCATGCTAACAACATGGCATGCATCACAAAACAACTTAAAAACACAAACTTTTACTCTTCACTCTTTTGATTAACAGATTTTGAAGCCTTAGAGGCGGCTTCGGTGTCACTGCTTATAACGATAACGGGAGTATCGGGTTCTTCATCTTGCTCAGCTAGAAGTTCCTCAAGCATATCATAGCAAGAAGTGAGAGGGTATGAATCAAGAAGAAATCTTTTCACATGGTCCGCTCCAATTTCCCTTGTCAACCGTAGCATCAGTAGGTTTGTCTCTGTCTTCAGATTTTTCAACTTGTTTCTAACATCCTGGTAGAGGATGTTGTGGTTAATGGGTGAACCATGAAGAGGTTCATCGATAATTTTCTTTGTAGGGGTTCTTTCCATTGTTATTTTAAGAGAATTTTGAATTAGAATATATAATTTGGATGAATGAGATTAATAATGTATTTATAGTATGGTTTTTTGAATATTTCTAGGATTAGGGTTAGGGTTAGGTTTTTCCTTATTAATTGAATCACAATTTTCAATGAAACCTTTACACTCCTCAAAAAAGACTTTACATTCTTCAATGCATCCATTTAGTTTACCCAAAATTCTTTTCATGAGCTCTTCATCCAACCGTGAGAATATCCGATTTGGATAATGTTTTCCAGTACATAAGAGCCTAAATACACCAGCTGAACTTATTCTTGCAGTAGCTACACAACTCAAAGTGCAGCACACGATTTTCACAACATACATCAGCTTGAAAATCTATTTGTGTATCAAAATGATAGGTATTTCTCCAGATCAACAGCTCTTACGCACAAGGAAAAGGAGCCATATTGCACCAGATAAGCCCGTCAAATTACACCAGCATAGTAAATGTATTGTGCATGCTATGATCTGTAGACAAAGTCTATTATCATGATCTTAACAATTAAAGGGATGTTAATCGGAAGAAAGCTTCCTCAAAACTTTCAGCATGAATATTATCTAATAAATTGCAACACTATTAATCAAATACATCAATCTCAGTTTGCACACGTAAATATTAATTGCAGTATAGTAGCAAATGTAGATACCACATATTTACTGATGTTAGCAGAAAAAGTTATCTAATGAAAGACCAAAACGAGATTGAATCTCATCACACATGGAGGACAATTGATAAGTAAAGGTAATTTATTAATAATAACTCAATACCAAGATAGAACTAAGTCAATACAAAAAATTACTGCATCGAATACTTTCTCAGCTTATCACAAAAAGACAGAGATAACAAAAACTCTCCATTAATGACTTTACCTCCTTCCACTTGTGCATTGCTCAACCACTATCGAGCATATATTTCCACCCTCACTTATCATCTCCAGTAACTGTGACCAATTAACTTGATACAATTAAACATATTTACTAACCGTTTAGTTCACCATGTATCAATATGGAAGTAAAGCTTAGAACTCAAATACATATGCACTTATTGTTGAAGAGAACTTGATACTCTGCCAAATCATCTTTGGAGTTTTTCAAATCTCGAGTAAGTTTTTTATCGAGTCAAATTTCAAGTGTACCATGAAAAAGTTTCATGCTCTTCTGATTTTTTTTTTTAAAAATGGAAAATTTTGCCATCTTGAAAATATATGGCACACTTAAATCACATATGAAGACTGAAAAGACATGATCATTGGACCTTCTATAATATTAGGATATCTTCAATCACTTGATTATATAATTCATTAGATTTTATATCTATCCTTGATGTCAACAGGGAAAGACAAGGAAAGAATAGTAAACAAGGAAAAGAAAAAATATATTTCTCAATTCTTTGGAAGCAACATATCTTTTCTTTTTATGAAGATCGACAACAACAGGTTAGATGAGGCCCCGCAAAATATTGTTCAAAAGTCCTATTTAAATTGTATGCTTACACAAAACTTGTCGTGTCTCACTAGAGAGACCTATTACTCAAATATTAGACAAAAAGGAATGAATGCATGATGTATGAGAACATAAGGCGAGATAAGTTGCCTAGGGAAATGAAATTCATACATGAGCAGTCTGGACCCTCTTGAGCATAAGTTGATGAAACTGTGATAACAAAGTTAGAAAACACATTGCACCCTGCAACAAGAAATATGAACCACATCCACTACATATTAAAAACATTGACATGGAAGGAAAGGAGCCAACCAGGATCAGTTACAACAACTTATCATTAGAAATCTTGCTACCTTCACATGATTTATTTTATCATTTACTGAATTGTCCTGCATCCTATCTGGTCTATTCAAGTGATAAGCAATATAACTGCACGATGTTACTCTGATGCTAATGCAGTCCCTTGAACTCAATATTATTTCATGTAAAATAAATCCTGGATGAGTCCAATCCTTTTGGCACATACAGATCCCAATAAAGCAGTGCCTTCATGAAATAATGGAATCATCGATATATGAGAAGCATCAGTTAAAAGGTAAAAAGAAATGAGAGTTCATCTTACAACAAAAGCTATTTACCAATCAATTGTGAAGAACATTAACAGGGATTTAGAGCAACATCAAGAACAAGTTATTCATCCATTTTTGAATAAAGTGAATGAACAACTCTTAGATAGTTACAAATGAAGAGCCTCGTTCAAATTCATCAAATTGAATATTCATATAAAATAGCTTCGGAGCAGTAATTTCTCTGCATAAATAGACCAATTGAAGCTTTTATACCGGGTAATGTTAATCGACTTCTACACTAGCATATCAACCAATTATGTTTACAATAGCAAAACTACTAGAACCTGATGTAGTTGTACGATGTGATGCTCTGCTAGCTTCTACAATAAACTATCACAATACACTATAACAATATCCACACCAAACACTAATATTATGAATAATGGAAGACAGAACATCGCAAAAATACGTGTAATACTCTTTTTCTTTTATTATTTTGAAGCATTTAGAAAAATATTTTCGACATTTACCTTCAAAAAATGTGGATAAGATCCACAAGACTAAGACAACAAGATTCTATCCATCATTATTAAGAAAATTATATGCAATTAAGCTATACTCACAACAAGAAATTTAAAAGAACTCTTGAGTTTGTGTCTAGAGTGCCTGTCTTTAGATTTCCAGTGATATCCCCACATTACAAATCCAATTTATCAAATGAAATTTTCATTTTTCACAAGACTAAATCAACCAAATTACACCTTGTATTTCACTTTTTTTAGTTGTTGCATCAAAATTATGGATAATGTTCAAGTTTAAAAAGTCAATATAGATCCTTATAGTAGAGGATGCCGGACAAAAGAAAAAAAATAAAAATTAATAAGCCTTACCAAAGTATGAAGAAGAAGCAGATAGGGTAGAAAGTACATAGAGAACAAAAGAGCAGTTAATTTTGACTATTCATGAAACTCTAGTGCTTAATGACCGATTGAATCTATATTTAGAACTCATTTATCTAATCGATATATAGACCTAAATAAAGTCTGGGGAAACGGAGACTCTTCTACACTAAATATAAATACAAAATTATAATAGAAAAAAGTCAAGAATCTTGTTTACAAGCTTCAATTTCTGCGCTTCAGAAAGAGAGAGTCATCCACAATGATAAAAAGATAGACATAGAAAAATAGTAGAGAGACATTACCTGGTGGTGGTGGCCGGCGACAGTGTGAGATGAGTTGGCTGCCGACAATCGTGAGATAGAGAGAGGTCTAATCAATTTTAGAGATGATAGTTTTGCAATTTAAGGGTGAATGTATCCAGGCGGGAATATTTCACACGAAAAAATTAGAGGGAAGATGAAAATTGGATTTTATTTGTCAGGACTAACTTTTTCCGACCATTACTTTGAATTGCTAGTAAAGAAGCACTCTTTCCTGGTGAAAGTTTAATTACCGCAAATATTTGTGTTTATAGAATAAATTAGCGGCAAATAGTTTATTGTCACTAAATAATTGCCGGCAAAAGAGTTTTTTGTTGTAGTGTTCTCATGCCAACTATTGAGCTTCTCAATGAAGCATTTATTATTCTCAACTATTTAGCTTCTCAATGAAGCATTTATTATTCTCAACCATTTTAGTAGTGTGTAGGTAGAATTAGCTTGAATTTTAAGTCTTCATTTTGAAGAATTGATTTTAAAAAAATAAAAATAAAAACAGTCTTTGAAATTGATTTCATACGTAAGAAATGAAAATTGTTATAGCAAATCAAAAGCACAACTAAATCAACATGAAAATGAAAGATAATAAAGGGATAGAAAAACACAAAACACATCCTAAAAACTAATCAATTTCAACCGGATTACGATCAGAAGTTCCTTCTCCCTTCACTATAACATTGAAGTCAACATATAGTGATGAAACATCAACCAACGTAAATTTGACGACGAAACCTCGCTTGACATAAATATCCAAAACAAAAAGTTTCCAACCTTCTTTTGTGATGACCCAAAAGGTCATCACTTGCTTTTAAATTAAATTTTGTGTTCCGAGGCCTTAAAAACCTCTTTTACCTTCACGTCGATTTGCGTGCGTAGTCCGGGCGTGTAGCCGAAAAGCTGTTATGTGAAAAATCTGTGAAATATTGAAATTTTGACTTAAAATGCATTTAAAATGACTTCGGTCAATATTTTTGGTAAACGGACCCGGACCCGTAATTTGACGGTCCCGGAGGGTCCGTAGGAAAATATGGGACTTGGGCGTATGCCCGGAATCAAATTCCGAGGTCCCAAGCCCGAGAAATGAATTTTTGAAGAAAATTGTTTTTTGAAATTGTTTAAAGGAATTTGAAATGAAACTTGAGTAGAACATGTTGGTATCGGGCCCGTATTTTGGTTCAGGTGCCCGGTACAGGTCTTATATATGATTTAAGATGATTCTGTGAAATTTGGTAAAAAAAGGATGTCATTTGACATGATTCGGACCTAAATTGTAAAAGTTGATGTTTTATGAAGTTTGAGAAAAATCCTTTGATTTTGAGGTTTAATTCATTGTTATTGAGGTTATTTTGGCGATTTGATCGCACGGATAAGTTTGCATGATGTCATTGAGTTAGTACGTATGTTTGGTTAGGAGCCCGATGGCTCGGGTGTGTTTCGGATGTGTTTCGGAAGGTTTCGGACTTAAGAAAAATTACAGGTTTTCAGCAATTGGGTTTCTGATGTTTCCTTCTTCGCGTTCGCGGGAGAACCCTCGCGAACGCGATGCATTAAATTTTGATGAAGGAAATTCCTTCTACGCGAGCGCGTAGCACAGGTCGCGAACGCGAGGCTTTAGGGGGTTAAACCTTCGCGAACGCGGTCCTGGCCACGCGAACGCGAAGGCCAAATGAGCCTGGGCAGGGGTGGGGCATTTGTTCTACGCGAACGCGACCCTTTGGATGCGAACGCGAGGGCTCGAGGAGTTTACTCTCCGCGAACGCGAACGCGAGCCCGATGTCGCGAACGCGAAGGTCTTCAGGCCTAACTCATCGCGAACGCGAAGGACAATTTCGCCTAGTTATTTTTAAGTCTCAAAAACAGAACACTTACGGGATTTTCATAAACTTTCAAAAACCACTTCTTCTCCAAAGCTCTTAGGCGATTTTTGAAGCATCTCCTCACCATAATCTCTTGGGTAAGTAATTTCTAACTTGTTATCTTCCATTTTTATCAACACCCACTAGATTTTTAGGCCTAAAACATGAGATTAAGGGTAGAAAATTAGGGATTTGGATAGAGTTAGGGATTTTTGATTAATTGCGATTTGGACCTCGTTTTGGGGTCAAATTCTGGTACTAATCATATATTCGGGCTCGTGGGTGAATGGGGAGCGAATTTTGGTTCGAACTTTGTGTTTTGACCAAGCGGGCCCGGGGTCGATTTTTGGATTTTTGGGAAGAATGATTTAAAAGCTATAATTGAGCATTAGAATTGGATTGTTTAGCATTTATTGATGTTATTAAGTCGATTATGTATAGATACGATTGTGTTGGAGCCAAATTCAAAAGGAAAGGAGGTATTTGAGGATTGAGTTGGCCGTGGAAGTTCGAGGTAAGTGTTTGGTCTAACCTTAGCTTGAGGGGTTAGGAGTTGTGTCCTATTTGCTATTTGTTTCTTGTTGAGTACGACGTATAGGCAAGGTGACGAGTATCTATACGTTGGTGTCGAACATGACCGTGAGTCTTATTTTGTGATTTCCATGAATTCGTTGTATTCTTCATGCCTTGGTGAAAATTTTTATTTGTTGTGTAAAGTTGTGAAAAGAATTGTGACCTATGAACATTAAGGAGCGTTGGCTCCAGTTGTATAACGAACTGTGAAAGTATAGCTGATAATTGAACCTCTAGAGCAGTGGCTCGAGTTGTGAAGTGAATTGTGAAGTAAAACTGAGAAAGAGAAGAGATTATTATGTTGCCCCCTTGCCGGGCTATTGTTGAGTTGTGGTTCCCTTGCATGGTGTTCTTAATTATAATACGGATACTTAGGTTGATATTCTTTGTGTTAGGTAAGTATTATTGTTATAGCTGAGGTAGTTAGGTGTTGGAACAAGTTTGGGGTATAGCCGAGGTAGTTAGGTGTTGTAACAAGTCTAGTTATAGCTGAGGTAGTTAGATATTGGAACAAGTTTGGGTATAGCTGAGTAGGAGTTGAGTTAGAATTGGTTATAGCTGATTCTCCCTTGCCGGGATGTTTGTCTTGATATTGTTGTTCCCTTATCGGGGAGTTATTATGTTGCTTTTGTTCCCTTGCTGGGATTCCATTGTGATTTTGTGTTGGCTTGGAAATGGGAGCGGGTGGTACGCCTACCACGAGATATAATGAAATGGGAGCGCGTGGTACGCCTACCACGAGATATAATTAAATGGGAGCAGGTGGTACGCCTACCACGAGATATAATGAAATGGGAGCGGGTGGTACGCCTACCACGAGATATAATGAAATGGGAGCGGGTGGTACGCCTACCACGAGATATAATGAAATGGGATCGGGTGGTACACCTACCACGAGATATAATGAAATGGGAGCGGATGGTACGCCTACCACGAGATATAATAAAATGGGATCGGGTGGTACGCCTACCACTTGATATAATGAAATGGGATCGGGTGGTACGCCTACCACGAGATATGATGAAATTGGATCAGGTGGTACGCCTACCACAAGATATGAGAAATGGGATCGGGTTGCACGCCTGCAACGAGATGTGGACCGAAAGTGAACTCTGCCTTTGGTTTCCTTATCCTTGTTAGTAGTTGGATTTTGGTTCCTTTATAATTCTCTTGATATTCTGTTTTACCTGTTATTCCCCGAAGCATGCTTTCCCCCTCCCATCTTTACTTGGTTATTTTTGCCTTACTTTCCGCTGTATATTATATAACTGTACAGGTTTATTTGGTAGTCTGTCCTAGCCTCGTCGCTACTTCGCCAAGGTTAGGCTAGGCACTTACCAGCACATGGGGTCGGTTGTGCTGATACTATACTCTGCACTCTTTTGTGCAGATCCCAGTGTTGTGGATTTCGGACCGCAGTGAGGTTGCTGCTTCTGGTCCATCAGGCGACCCGAGGTAGTCTTACAGGCGTCCGCAGGCCTTGGCGTCTCCTTCTAGCTATTATTCTTGTTTCTTTCTTGTATTTCCAAAGACAGTGTTGTATTATTTCTTTCAGGCCTTTATTTGTAGTAATCTTAGACAGTCTGTGAAGTTGTGACACCAATCTTGGGTAGTTTTGTCATGGAATGGTATTAGCAATATTATTAAACTTGAAATTTAAGTCCTCCGCTTGTTAAATTTTGTAGATTATTAACTGTTAGATTATAACTGTTAACAAATTTAAAAATGGGTGAAGGTAATCTGTTCAGAAATTGGCTTGCCTAGCTCACATTAGTAGGCGCCATCGCGACTCCCGAGGGTGGGAAATTCGGGTCGTGACAAGTTGGTATCAGAGCTCTAGGTTATATAGGTCTCACAATTCACAGACAAGCTTGGTAGAGTCTGAGGGATCGGTACGGAGACGTCTGTATTTATCCCTTAAAGGCTACAGAGTTAGGAAAAGTTTCACTTCCATTCTTCCCTGTCGTGCGATTTTGTTCTCTCAATGCTAAATTGAAACCTCTACTCTTGTCCTTTCGCGAATGGCGAGGTCATGTACCGCTTCTTCAGCCGAGCAGCAGCACAGACCGATGATAGATCAGCTACGTCTTTGGAGGCTTTGTGGAGGTTGGATAAGTTTCACCAAGCTCTTCACTACTAAATTCAGCGGTGCATCTACTGAGGACCCCCAGGATTATCTAGATAGCTGTCACGAGGTTCTCAGGAACATGGGGATCGTGGAGACCAATGGGGTCAATTTTGCTACCTTTCGCTTGTCTGGATCCGCCAAGACCTGTTGGAGAGATTATTGATTGGCTATACCAGTTAGGTCATCAGCTTCGACTTGAGAACAGTTCACGCAGTTATTTCTAGAGAAGTTTCTCCCCATCACTCAAAGAGAGGCCTATCGGAGGTAGTTTGAGCGTCTCCAGCAGGGTTCTATGACTGTTACTCAGTATGAGATTAGATTCATCAACTTGGCTCGTCATGCTCTTATCATACTTCCCACTGCGAGAGAGAGTGAGGAGGTTCATTGAGGGACTCGTGCAGCCCGCTCAGTTAGCTAGAGGTGGAGGTAGAGATGTTAGAGGTGGAGGTAGAGATGCTAGAGGTGAAGGTGCAGGTATTAGAGGTGGAGGTGCAG